GAGAGAGAGAGAGAGAGAGAGAGAGAGAGAGAGACAGAGAGAGACAGAGAGACAGACACAGAGAGAGAGAGAGACAGACACAGAGAGAGAAAGGGAGAGAGCGAGAGAGACACAGAGAGAGAGAGGGAGAGAGAGAGAGAGAGAGAGACAGACAGATAGACAGAGCGGGAAGGACAGGGGAGAGAAAGATATTAAACACCAGGCGAGACCACGTCGGGTAGAGGCCAGGAACGAGACCAAAAAACCTAATGACGGACGTTGTTTCGATAACTGCTACAGAATCCAGAAAAACGCTGCTACATGCGCCTTGGCCAAAATGCACTACCCACTTCATACCGCTCTCTTTGCATACTGTAGTGGGCCCTCATTAACGCCGGGATGTGCCAGGCGCGTCGACTGGCGCTTTTCAGAGGGACCGGCGATATTCAATACACAGAATGACTTGGGTGATTCAGCCTGTGTCCAGCAATTTCGCTGGCGCTATACAGGCCACCGGCGCTAACTAAGCGGCGTTCAATAGGCGCCCCCCCACTGTATTCGGTTTCGACAACAGCGTGCGGTACGGCGGTGGAAACGTGGAAACCCCCCTGATGGTGTATTTAGGTGCACTCGTGCTGGGCGAACGCGGGGAGGATCATGAGCTTCATTCCAGATGATTCTCGAAGTCTACCATCAGTCCCTGTTTCCAAAAGAGGCGTTTCGATAGCGCGTATTCTGTGCTTTGCCGTCGCCCAACAGCCCAACATCGTACTTTTGGGCCTGCGGGGGGCGTAATCGACCGCAGACTTGTGGAAACTTCGACCGACAACGCTCCTGAAATACCTCAGCTTTCCTCCCCTATCCGCTTCCCCCCGGCGCCCGCTCATCACACACGCCTTGCCGACCAGATACCCCTTCCGCCTCTGCCGCCTTGTTCTCAACGCGGCATGTTGCTGTACCAAGAGTATCAGGTCCAGGTTCCGTTCTTTGCCTCCTTCTCCTCCTGCTCAATGGCGGTGTTGCTGCTTGAGTGCGGACGGAGGGTGTTACTGATGCCACAAGAACACAGAGGAAATCGTCTCATGCAGCCGGCACCAATTATGTAGATCCAAATGGAACGTGGTGACAACACCAACACGCATGTACCCGATGGAATTTTCGGGGGAATCGTTGATGGTAACCCCTCCTATTCCCCGTACGCGCGTAGTCGCCGTCGATGAGGTCGTTTGATAGTCCAAATGCAGCTGGAAGCCGACACTTGGTTTGGTGACTCAACCCAATAGATGCATGATGTCCATTCCGAAACGATGGGAAATAAAACCCTACCCGCACCTCTTGCGAGGTAGAGTGGGTCCATTCTGACTTGCGATTCCCTTGTGGCTGAAAGCGCGAACATGCCCGAATACACAAGTTCCACCACTTTTGTCCAGGAAGGTTGCACAGCAGAAATGCAGGATCAACAGGCCATACACACGAACCATCAACATTTACAGACAAGCTCGTTTTTCAGACGTGAGTACATAGTCTAGACAATGCTTCGCCTATAGGTAGATTAGACTATGCACAGATTAGAAGTGCAACAATGACATGAGAGTATGATTCATGGATGCAAATTGCTCTCTCTAGCTGCGCGAAAGCGCGGTGCGCTTCCCTGGTGTAATGCATGCCTCTCATTGCTGAAAGTTTTCAGCCTTGGGTTCTCGTCAGTGTAGAGATTCAGAGTTGTTTTTCTTCACAACACTGGCTTGAGTCGAAGATACCACACCCCTCACCACCGGCGTTTAAAGCTCGCGACCCCACGAGGACGAGGAAATCAAACGATATGTTATCGGAGAGCTATCGAAAGCCGGTTGTTCCATCTCCATCATTTCTTGCACCGTGCCCAATTCTTCTGCGGAAGAGTAAATGAGCTTTGGCAACCTTCCCAGGGGTAGCGAATATCTACTGATTACAATCCTAATGCACTACACTATGCTGTGGCTGCCGCAGAATGCCGCAGAATCAACAACTGAGAATATCGGTAGGGTGTACACTCGGTAGCATGCTCGTGGTGGATCCAATCTCCTCAGAACAATTGAACCCTCACCTTCAGAGCTTGAAAAAACACTCGGCGTCTTTGGCAAGCCGAACCCTGTTGCGCGTTATGATCTGATCTTGACAATAGAGGCAGCAGCAGGTCGCGAGGAGACTGGATCGGGGGGAGACGCGAAATGGATACGACTCAAACATAAGGGGGGGCAAGAGAGCTACGTGCGTGACTAGAATGAGAACGCCTCAGAATTTCAAACCAACAGCTTTTCTTCGTATGCGACGCGCGCGCAACCAGCTTGCAGCCTTTTGGAGCACAGGGCAGGACCGGGCGATCAGGCAGGGCCACGCTTTTTTTCGAGGGAGCATGACGTCTCCTTCCGACGAAGCGTGCCAAGGATCGCCAGCGCCACAGGGAGATGCAGCGAAGCAGGCGAGAGAGGCAGGGGCACCGGCGGCGGCGGCGGCGGCCGGGGTGACGAAGGTCAACCAGGCCGCAGCACCGATCGTTTTGTCCCTGCTCCACGCGCTAACGTCCTCAGATAATAGTGCGCGCAACCGCGCGGAGCAGGCGTTCAACGAGCTGAAGCAGAGCCAACCGGAGGCCCTCCTGTACGGCTTGCTGGAGGTCAGTGCATTTTCTCTCTAGTGTGGCCGTCTCCGACATACTTTACTTTAGTTGGCATGGCAACAATTTGTAATGATGGGATGGTAGACGTATCATTAACGGATCGTACTTCGCCACTCATCCCTTCAAGGCCACTCAAAAAATTGTGGACATACGGCCAGTCGCCATCAGGCCTGCCTCATGCTGTAACTGTTATACCACAGCAGTCGGGAAGCACTCATGCTTGTGCCTTGCTGATTTGCCGCGTGCGTGTGATGGCCTAGAACAGCCCACCCGTTGCCTCTCCGTTTCTTTTGTTGCCAGTGGTGGGAAGTTGGTTGCATCAAAGCCTCGCCCCAAGAGGTGGTGGGGTGAACCGCTTGATGCTAGGGGTATGCAATAACACGTTTGTAAGTGCCTGTGTAGATACCTCTGCCTACCGGCGGTTGATGCTGCGGCATGTACCGATGAATGATCACCAACTCACTAGGGCGCCGGTATGTGGCGATATGCTCGTACGAACCTACCCCACAGGATCGGAAAGTGGTCGTTTACACCGCGCTGAAACATAGCTTCAACACTTTGTTCAGGAGACTGCTGTGTCGTTGCCGATGAATCGAAACATGCGCGCATGATTCGAACGAGTTTAAAGCGTTCAACAACAAAACCGCTGAGATGCACCAAACAGCAGCACGTGAACTCTTTAGACATACGTTCAGCCGTAACAAATATTTCATGCGCCAAATGGAAGTACGAACGAAGGTGTCGAGAAGAAACGTGTGGCTCATGGGCACTTGTTTTCTCTGTATACCGTTTCACGCTTCTGGCGGTGGGGATTGGGCAGCGTACCTATTTTCGGCAGGCAGTTCGGGACTGCTGTGACCGCTGACTAGATAATAGCCTGCGTGCATCTCTGCTCCTCCTCGTACCTATCGAAGTGCGGAGCAGAATTGATGGAGTCCTACCCGTTATGCATCACTCCTTGAGTTCTCCTATGGCAAATCATCCAATCATCGCCGAGCAACGACAATCCCCAGGTGTTTGGCGCTCAATTCACGTACGGATGAAGTATAATAGTAGTACATCTTTGTGACAATTTTTCTTTTACAGAAAGGAGAGCGAACACATCATTCCTCTGTTCCAGTTGTCTCCAAAATGTGCGAGAGAGCACTATTCGTCTGCTGTATGCATATGCTCACGAACAGCACGTCCTTTCCCCAAAAGACGGCGATTAGCTAAATAGCTGCCAAGATTCCGTTTCGCGGTATTGCCGGTAGCAGCTCCTTCGTTGTCCGCAAACGTTGATTTTTCCCAGTGAATGTCGACACGGGAGGGACGTGCAAGACCAAAACCACAGCACACCAACAGACACCGCCTTCGGCTTTGCCGCGTTACCCACTCTCTCGCGTCCCCCTTCCCCCCCCAGCCCCAACCCGTCGAACCGCCACCGACCGGGTTTCCGTTTGAGCGTGGCCGTTTTGAGATTGGCTCTCGTGGCCGGTCGATTTTACGGCTTCCCGGTGGAAACCTACCGTAGGCGGTTTTTCGGATTCTGCGTGGCCGGGGGTGCGGGGAGGGGTTGCATGCGGGTGTTGTGAGTTGCGGCAAGTTCTGTGCCGGATCTCGGTCACGTTGATGCGCACATTTTTTTTTATGGAATTCCGGCACATCCATTCTGCTGGTTCATAATGTGTCTATGTAATCGGTGTACACAAGCAATAGGACAGAATTAAGTGTGGTGCAGCTTTTGGTTGTCGGGGAACCAAGCTTGTCCACTCTGCTGAGCGGGCGAATATCTTGAGCACCAAAGAGCTAACTGTGGAAGTTGAATCGACCGAATGGGTTCCAACGTTGTAGCAGTGTACGAGCAGTAGTGGCTGTTGCGCCGTGTAGATCATAGTCGAATAACACGACAAGACATCGACATCGCCTGCAAATGCGATCGGTGCAGGGCGGAGATTTCCACCGTTTTCATGGTGGTGACTTTTCCGCATTATGGTCCGCTTGAAAGAAAACCCTCGCACGAACACCAACCGCAGCTTTAGGTAGAAAAACTAACCCGGTGGTTTTGAAGCGTGCGTTTGGACATCCCGCCTGACGTCGCAGGGTATCGGCTCCAAGCGATTGCCGCCCCACGTGCGGGGTCTAGCAGCAGTTCTCCTACGCCGAGCGCTTCTTGTGGAGGAGCCTACCCTCTGGGACTGCCTACCGGCGGCGTCAGACATGGGAAGCGGCCACGGAACCCCTGAAGGGGGGGGGGGTGCGGAGGTCGGCAAGATGGGACAGAGGGAGCTGCAGGCGTGCCTGCTGCAAATCTTGTCTGATGAGGGCGATGCTTCCGTGCGAAGAAAGGTAATTGTCGGGAGAGGATGGATGGATGCTTCTTGTGTTCATCTGTTGGCGTAGGTGCAACAAGTGTGGGAACGAGCGCAGGAAGTTTGTATCGCGGGTGATGGTACTGCAGCCAATGCTGTGGACCCTTTCCGGTTCTCTCGGTCAAAGGGCGTGGTACCGATACTACCCCTGTCCATGCTAGAACCAGTCGCAGCTTTTGAGGCGCCTCCTCGGGGAATGGTTTACTGTGTACAGATTGCGAAGGAGTGAGGGCATGTGCGAGTGGCACCGTTTCCTCGGAACAAGGGGTTCACGCTGTTGCGTTTAGGTTCGTTGCTCGCTTGGAGTCGCAGCCAGCGATGGTGCTTACGGTAAACCTTAGCTTCGGCTTTGAACATCCCTGAGCAATACCGTTTATGCTACAGAAGACATCTGTTACTGTGGTCTGTAGACTTCGCCTTTGGTATTCCTTATCCCCAAAGATGCCTGCCCTCTCATGTTACTATGGTTATTTTATTTTGCTGAACGGAATGCCTCTCCTTTTTTGTTGTCTTCCCGTGAATGACGCAAATGTTGTTGTTTCGGCGAACTATACATCATTATTTTTATTGCTAGGTGGGTGACCTCGTGGGAGAACTCGGACGTGCCGTGCTGGACGAAGACGGCCCCGAGGGATGGCCGGAGTTTCTCCCCTACGTCCTGCAGTCGGCGTCATCGTCGTCTACGTTGACGGCCACCGCTGCTGCTTCTACTGCGACAAGCGGCAATGCAAACACTGCTTCCGCGGGTGCCGCTGGTAACGGTTACCACCAGCAGCACAACGGCTCTGCGGACGCGGGGTCTCAGAAGCAACTCCAGCAGCTTCAGCTGTCTGATGTGGTAAAAGGAGGGGAGGCAGCTGGGACACCCGATGGGTGGGCGAGGGTAGTGTCGGGGCTTCGGCTCATGTCCTCGGCGGCGCAGCACACCGCGGTAGCGGCCGCGGCGGATCCAAGCGCCTTCAAAGCCCTGGTGGAAACCCTTCAGCGGTGTCTGTGCTGGCAGGGGAGCGGAGAAGGTGGGGGGGGATCTCCGGATGTCCGCCTGGAGGCGGTGCGCGCCCTGGGGTCCGTGGTGGTGGCATGCGAGAGGCCGTCGGACCAGGCGTCGTTCTCTACGTGCCTCCCGCACCTGCTGCAGGCCATCCAAGGTGACGCTTATAACTGCCTTCGTGTGCGGGAGTTGTATGCACGGGTTTCGCATGCCCTCTCTTTGTGGGGACGAACCTCCGCTGTTGAAAGACTCATGAGGCAGAAACGACTCCAACCTGCTGCGTCCACGCATGTAGATGCCCCAGGGGGGGGTTCAGAAAAGGCTTACCTACCGTACGAAACCAATCGGATTTCGTAGTACGTTTTTTGTTTTTTCTACACGCTCGGCCGTTTTCTTTTCCTATGGGGTTTCCAAGTTTGATGGGTGATAGAGGATTGGAGACAAATGTAGCAGGTGCTATGTGTCCCTGTGGATAATTGTGCTCGTTGCGCCTGTTGCAGATTGAGGGCGGTTGAGTAGCAGTTTGTGTCTACCGTTTTGGGGAGCTCTGGAGAATGAGTCAGGTTATGTTTATTAATTGTCATGTTTGGTGATGGAACGAAACGGGCTGACGTGAATAATAATGACCTGCCTTGTGAGAAAGAGACAAGCAAGGTTTCAGTGCCTTGGAGGATAAGCGTAGTCGCTCTCTCTCTCGGGCACTGACAACCGACCAATCGCCCTTCTCCTCTGTCTCGTTCTGTAGATGCCGTAACACGGGGTGGTTATCAAGAACGATGCTTCGTTGGCTGCACCTAGCGGAAAACCGACCGCGACACCCAAATCCCAACCCTTCGAACATGTTCCCACACGCCACGAAGCAAACAAGCGAGTGCCCTCTTGACGTCTGTGCATTTCCCGCTTGCATGCCTGCTCCTTTATTGTTTCGCGTCCCTGTATGCGTGCCCCACTTGTTTGATTGCTTTTGTGCAGCCACGCTTTCTAGCGGTGAACGCAACTCGGAGAGCCGTGCGTGGTACTGTTGTGAGACGCTGGAACTGGTGGTTGAGCTGGCTGAGGTCTGCCCGGCCTTCCTGAGACCGAGGGTTGCGCAGTGTGTGGCAGGGATGGTGCAGGTATGTATGTGTGTATGGCTCTTCGCTCCTTGGCGGG